CAGACGTGGTGCCCACTCAGAGCTCTGCCCACCCCCTCCCCACCCAGATCCAGCCGCTGTTTCATTAAAATGCCCAGTCTGCCTTACCCTGCGGCTGACAACCTCACCCCTGCAAAACAGTTCTCCCTGTTTGCTAGCCACAAAAGTACTGAAACCTGGGCTGGCAGCGGGAGGAAAGGTGGGGAGCCCCAAGGTGAGAGACCCCCTGAAGGTTCACTTGGAGCAGGGACCATACCCCTGCCCCCAACGACTTTAGAACAAAGCAACAGTAAATGAAAACAGTGCAGTTTACTTGTATTATCCAGCGCTGTGGGGTGGACAGGCCCTTGAATGAAAGAAATGGGGCAAAGACTTGAAAATGAGGCTAGGGAATGTTTTCAGGGAGACAGATGTCCTGGGGACCCCCTCTCCTTGACCCTCCCCCCCAAAGTACTGTTTCCGTTTAGGGTGTTGTGAACACCAGGCTACAGACACAGCTGAACGGGGTGGAGGAGGGACCTCAGAGAGCCAGAGGGGGCGCAGGGAAGGGGAGTGACCGGTGGGGGGACACCCAACCCATTACCTCGAGTCAAACTTCTTGCCATCCTCGAAAGTGCCATTGTAGTGGTAGCGCACAAAATCCCCCATCTGCACTTCCCGGGGACAGGCCCTGGGGATGTGGTACCTTTCAATCACCACATCTTCCAGGGGACCCCCGGCGGGGCTGGCGCGGCCCAACCCCCTCCCCACGGCCTGCACCAGCACAAGCAGCAACTGCAGCTGGGGGAGCCGGGGGAGGGTGTGGCTGCGGGGCGCCTCGCGGAACATGGTGCCTGGAGCTGGGGGCAGACGGCGGTGAGGGCGAGCGAGCGAGGCAGTCGCCGCCAGCAACCTCCTTCACCCCTCCTCCGGGCTGGCTCCCCCCCTTCCTGTCCTTCCCCGCCCCCGCCCTGGCGGGTCCACGTGGAATGGGGGCTGGGGAGACTGAGTTGGCCGGGGCGGAGGTAGGGTGGGGTAGAGGAACGGGGGTGGGCTCCGAGGAGGGGCGAGGCCGGGAGGCCGACTTCTGCCTTCCGCCCGTTACCGGGGCTGAGCGACGGGGGCCCCAGCAGGGAGGGAAGTTCGGGAAAGAGGAGCTGCGGAGCGGACTTCAAAAAATCAAAGAGTTAGTTGTCCTTTTTTTGCGGAGTCTCCGGGTCCTAAAGCCGGTGGCACGGCTTGCTGCTTCTGGTGGCACCTCCAGCCCTAGGCCTCTCTAGGCGGGCGGTGACGCTCCAGCATCTCAGGGGTTTATCTCCGGGCCCCACTGCCCCCCCCAAAAAAAAAACCGAACCCTTCCTGGGGCGACCTTTCCTGAGACGGGCTGCTCTGACCCTGCAGCTCAGGAAGGCGTTGGGGTTAGGGGATGGAGATCCGTGGGCTGTGGTGAGGGTGGACGGCGTGGGGGCACCACCAGGCGTGTGCAGCGGGAACCCCGGAGACGCCTCGGGGCTGGCAGAGGGGGGTGTGCGCCAGGAGCTGTGTCGGGAGCAACAGCGGGTTCCCCAGACTGCGGCACAGCCCACAATTTCTTGCTTTTACGGGGTGTGTTGGGTGGGGGTGGGGCGACTCAGTGTGGGCCGACTTTCGGAGCCCTTCAACTCTCCGAAACCCCCTCACATCCCAGACTCATCCTCCGTCACAGGGGAAGACCCCCCCAGCCCCCGCCTCGGGTAGAGGGGCCCACCCGCTGCCGGCACTCAGTACACCGTCGGGTCCCGCGGAGGGGGGCGGGCGCAGCCGCGCTCTCCTCGGTGGACCGACCCCGGCCACTCCCGGGGCTCCCCCAGTTCCTCACCCGAAGCCGGGCGCTA